TTTCATCCATTGCCCCCTCGAGCTCTTCATTCCCACCTTGTGTTTCATGCATTTCACAAGCACTGCTTAGTTCCACGGAGGAAGTTTGCGCTGCCGGCCTGCGAGATCGCTGCGCGCTTGGGCGGTGTGTTGGCGCCGTTCAGTGGGACCTTGCCCGCCGCAGTGTCGTGCCCCATTTTCGCCGCCGGCTGTGCAGCCGCTGCTTGCACCACCATGACTGCAGGGGGGCTGGGGGGGTCGGGGAAGGTGCCGGCTGGTAGGTGATGCAGAAGCTTTCTGTTGTTCTTGGTATAGATAGACCCCCGAATAGATAGAAAGGTAGATCTCCACTTGGAAACCGTGTCGCTCTCCATTGGGACCACTACAGGATTGGAGAAACACGATGGGCGCTGAGTGTTTGCCTGATGCAACGCCATGACGCCCGGGGGCGACCTCGTCCGATTGGTGGGTTTTCATCAGATAAAGTGCTCACAGGCACTAAACACGGCAGAGGAACAGTTCATGCATGTGGATTGTGGCACCCAGCAGCGCAGATGACAGACACATCGGAACCAAACACACAGCGCAGCACGGCCCTGCACCCAATGCACCTTGCAGTGCAGAATTGACCATGTGTGAGATGCAAGGCAGCGTACCTTGCACAAGGCAGCGCAGGCCAAGCAATGCAAGGGAAGGTCAGGCAAGAGCTGCACGGAAAACACATAATGTGCACGTGACACAGCATGATAGAGCATCATCAGACACACAGCACAACATGCACACAAACACTCACAAGATTTAACCCTGAACGTGCCCAAATCTGGACCGCAAGGGACATGCTACCCTCATGAAATCCACTTCAACTTGTTCTTACATGGAACATGGGAGATTAGAAGAAGTGGACTTTCCACAGGCCCCCCCCAAAAGTCCATGAGCAGCCACCCTGCAACATGCATCCAAATGAATGAAACTTATCGCCAAATCACCTGGATCACGCTCCCAAATCTCCCTGGTTTGTCAAGTGACCCTTTTTCACACGGATGTGCTCCGACACCGTGGTTCACCGCGAAGGACTCTGCCGGAGCTGGGAAGACACAAGCGCCTGAGCGCCACGACCAGCGCCTGAGCGCAGCGCAGTGGAGCGAGACTTGGAAAGCCATGAGCCATGGGCCATGGAAGATGATCAAGTCGGCAGAGATGTCTTTGTCAGCCGAGTCGGACGGCCGACCCTTTCCAATAGAACATGTGATCGGAGACTAAACGTTGGCTGTTTTAGAAAGTGGCAAGCTCATGCCAGAGAAGCTGGAGTCGTGGTGTACGCTTGGATCATCGTATCAGGGATGAATGGCAGTGAATGGCAGTGCAAAGGGAATTCACATGTACAACCTGTATTTTACATATGAAATATACATAAATATACATCCTCAATAGAGAGCCAAGTGAGTTCTTGCAAAAACATGTTTCTGACATCGTTTCTGTCTATTTATTTGCACGACCACAAGCCCAAAGCAGTCACACTGGGCGTGCGACAAAGACGTCGTGGGTTGCAGATTCAGTCGGTGATGACGATTGACCAAACTCGGATTTTGCGTAGGCAGAACGTGCACGTCATTTCTCAGGAGTCTGACAGTGATGACTGTTGCTTTGGCCCCCCCACGATCCACCACCAGCCAGGAAACGCTCGCAGGCCAGCGTGGGGCCTGGGAACGAGCTTTTAATGATGGTCTTTAAGTGATGCCTGGGATTTGGTCGCTCCGAAAGTGCTGGAGTCCCAGGAGCTCCTAGTAGCGTCCTTTGCTCCTAGTAGAGTCCATCGTTGCATTTTTTGGATTATGAGGGTCGTTGGGTCGTTGCAACGGCTGTGGTCGGCAAGTCGCAGCCTTTCCCTTTCGGTTGAGGAATTCGGAGATTTGGTGTCTTTCCAACGGCATCCTCTTTTGGTCACGGTGATTCCTTTTGGACATATCTGAGCTGTGCTGTTCTTCACACTCCTGAGAATGCGGCCAAATGCATTCCAGGGACCCAGCTGGTTCCTGTGGCGTTCTCGCTTTCCCAAACCCGAGGGGGTCAGGGAAGGCCGATCGCCGTGCGAGGCTTATTTCGGTCACTTAAGGGCGAGCCAAGTAGGAAGTGGATAGATAGTGGAAGTGGAGGGGTGTTTGAGTCTCCCTCTAAGCAAGAACGCTTCTAGGTTGGAGGCCATCGCTAGATTGAAGAGGCTGAAAGGTCGCATCTTTTCTTCTTTTGGAGTTCCTAAAGGAAGTGAGTGCGAGTCTTGTGTTCTCAGGGATCAACCGATTTTCCGCCGTGATGGTCCTTGTAAAGAAAACTTCGGAGCATGCCGGAGGGCTCGTGACCTGAAGCGGTTGTTCTATTCCTCGCAGAAAAGGGAAGCGCATGGGGTTTGCAAAGTTTGCTCGTCTTGTTTTCTTGGAGCCCCGTTCGTAGCGTCCTTGCTCCTAGTAGCGATGCCAGGAGTCCCTAGTAGCGAATTTGCAGCTCCTGACTGCCATCAAAGAAACAGCTGCCATCAATCACAGCTGCCCAGTGACCAAGACCTCGCAGATTTTGATCGATTCAACTTGGGCCAAGCGTAGGCCTTGATGTGAGCGCCTGGCCTTCAACGTGCTTTGGCGCGTGCCTTTTTGAGGCTCTTTTTGGAGCACGATCCGTCCGAAGTAGATGATGTAGGACATCCCATGGACCCACAATTCCTAGCACGATCCGCCTTCGGCAGGCGCGTGGATGGCCAGTCTTGACCGCCATGTTTCTCAGCATGGCAGGACATCAAGAAGTTGGCGAATGGTGTTCACAGGAAATCCTCATGCCTCGAGACTCCTTTGTCGACACAGGATTGTCATGTCAACAGAATGGGCCGGACAGCACAGCTCTTGTCGAGCCCTACTGAACTGAGGCACGCACCCTCACAGGACGTGAAACGCGATGGCAATCCTGTGACGTCTGACTTGCCACTGCTATTCGGTTGGGCCGAATGTTCCACCCATGTCTCTGGTTTTGCTTCAGCATAGAGCCTCCAAATTCGATCCTTTTTTGGGTTGCGATCTTTTTTCGCGAGGGCATGTGAGAGCATGTGGGAGCTGCCCGACCCAACTGCATCCAACTGCGTTAACGTTTTGCTGAGGCTTTTGGAACTCAGCATTGTGCATCAGCCGTTTTTGCTTCGCCCAGCAGAAACTGCTTGGTTTGCACTGTCGACCTGTCGACCCGTTCGAACCCGTTCGCTTGGACCGACCTGGGGTTTCCACCTGTCCGACACTCCGCCTGTTGGGTGGTCTGGTGTCGTCAGGTGGTTCCGAACCCCATCTCCAAGTCTTGGGCACCAAGGGGTGCCTGGAAAGAAAGACCTGTCCGAGCGTGGAGTTCGAAAGTTTCGGACGTGAAGGGGTGCGTGATGAAGGGGAGCGTTCTTGTGTGGATGTCGTGCAGGTGTCAGGTGTCAGGAGGACCGATCCAACGGCACTGAAACCCATTTGTTTGTAATGGACATCTTAAGGTTTTAGGCAACATATACTATCTCATATCTATCTCATATACTCATCTACTCATCAACCACATGCTCCGACATGCTCCGACATGCTCCTCCCCGTGCTTCACCGCCCCACACCGCACGTCCAAGGCCTTGAACATGGCGTTGCTTCGGGTGCTGCACCGACACCTGGCCGCGCAACGCGTGACCCAAGCCTTCGAGGAACCCGCGCGACGCGTCCGGCGGTGGAGGATCGGCGGGGGGAGAGATGTGGGATGCGCGTGGTCGCCATCTTTTTGCTCAACTTTGAGTTGAGACTTGGGTGAGAAACTTCGGGTTGAGACCTTTTTCCACCTCTTTCTTTCTGGGTTGGTCGCCATCGAGATGAGGCATCGGTGCAACAATCCACGCCGGGCATCGCCAGGACCCGCCACAGAAGTACCTCAGCCGTGGGGAGACTTGCAGACGTTGTGCGGGAAAGCTCGGTGGCATCGATGAAAACAGGTCGTCACCCGTTTCACCCATGAAAACCAGAGTCGAGATGAAATCGATGATGAAACACCAACTTTGAGGAATGAAGGAACTAGTCAATCGTGGGCTCAGAGATGGCTGTGGGTTGTGGGTTGGAATGACCTAGCCAAAAGAAAGGTCCAGGTTAGTCCATGTACTTTCCGAGCGTATCTTTTTCCCTTCGAACACCCAAAGACAAAAGGTATCTGCCAGAACTTCCAGAATCATTTACCACAACTGGTTCTCGTTTCATTTGTTCTCGTTCCATCTTTCGTTCCCGAATCCCGGATCTCGCTCCAGCGTGGCGAGCCGGCCGTTCGTGGCACCGATCCGTCGCACGGATCCCCAAGGCACACCGGTAGCCTGAGCTGAGAGGGTCGGACCTCCCCAAAAGCCACTGGGTTCGTGTGGAAAAAGGATCCCAAAACCCATTGAGGTCCATTTGGGTCAAAGGGTCCTTGGACACCGCGACGTGCGGGACATGGGCCCGAGGAAGCCAAGGAAGCTTTGAAGTACTGCAAATGGACCGTGGCTCTGCAGCTCGGAAGCCGTTCTGAAGTTCTGCTTCTTTCTTTTTAAGAATAGCCGTTCTGGTTCCTTTCTTTCTTTCTGCTTCTTTTTTGGATCGATGTGTCTTCTTTACTCTATTTGTCCCAACATCCGGCAAGCACCTGTGGTGTGTGGGGGTTTTGGGTCAGTGCTCGGTCACTTGGGCACCCAGCGAATGTGGAGGCACTTCATCCTAAGATTTAGTTATTTAAGGGCTTACGCCTGACAGCCGGGCGCCGGCCGAGGCAGGAGAGAGAAGGAAGGGAAAGGGAGACCACTCTCAGAGAAAGCTGGAGGGACAGTCGCCCGAGCTCTGGATTTGCGGCCGCGGGTTTGTAGACCTGGGTGGTTTATAGGACAGCAAGTGGCAAATGCATGTGTGCGCTGATGCAGTGGAATGTCTGAGAACCCCTCCCTGTGCAAGACGGGGGCTGGGACGTGGGGCATCCCGGCAGCATCCAGGGGGCTGACTGCCCTGGCTTCTTTCCGGGAAAGCCAAAAGTCGGGTGATCCGTCGCACACCGCAACATAGTCGGCAAGCAGATGTCACACACTCGATCGCCCATGTTGCACCAGGTTGGCCCGAGGCTGGCACTATGTTCACCTATATGTGTTAGAGCCAGGTCCAGCTCATCTAAGCCCACCAAAAATCATCCAAGTTAAGCTCATTTTGCGACCGTGTTGCAGCCATGCTGGGCCTATGTTGGCCTATCTTAGCACTAGGTTGGTCTTAGTTTGGGCCACAAGCAAGCGGACCGGCCCTTGGCCTTCGGATGCTTCTTGTACGACTTTCCGCGAGAGACTAAATTTCCGACGTTATGTCTTAGGGTGGCCTATGTTTCTTAGGTGTTTGTTGCAAAGTGGAGGTTTGCAGCCAAGTGAGCTGTGTTCTACGACATATCCTGTTCGTGCAGCCAAAGTCTTTTCACTCCTACCATGGTGTTGTCTCAGAATATCTCAGAAGCTATCCGTCACCTGGAGCCAACATCAACCAGCAATTCAAAAACGGTTCACACTTGCATTCATCGCTCTCATAGGAAAACCTCATGAATTACTTCACCAAAAGACAGCTGAGTTTTTAATATGCCTCAGACCTCTCTGGCCCTAAGCTTTGCTGTTGAAGACAATGTGTTGGAACCGCGAAAACAGAGAGCGGGTTGTCTTGAACTTGTATTTCCCGTTTGAAACCTATTCGAACAAGCATGCAGTTGCCAACTGGGGCTTCATTTGCACTCAGGGCGAGATGAGCTCACGACTGTGCTGGTAAGTCTTTTTGACAAGAAACCTGCAAAGCAGCGAACTGCTGCGATTGTCTCCTCGTCCAGTGCCAAACGTTGCTTTCTGACGGAAATAACAGCACTATAGATTCCCGATCCTATCTCAGACCCTCTCTGAACCTCGCGACGTGTCCTAGCCCAAGGATGCGAAACGAGACCCTTCGCCATAGCATTACCACACGAAAAACGATTCAAAAATGGTCCCCAAAACTCATCGTCTACTGCGAACCGTTGCTTTCTGACGGCTGCAACAATCCAATTCTTGACCTATCTCAGACCCTCTCGGAATCTCCCGCCGCGCTCTATCTCAGACCCTCTCGGAATTCCACACCAAAAATGCACGGTGATTCTCTGGCGTGCTCCCCCATCAGCTGGGGTCGGCGGATATATTGGATGAGTTGTCTTAGGACACACGCCCTCACGTGGAAGAGCGATGTTCTTCTATAGGCAGAGGTGTCCTAGTGAGGGCTCTAGGAAACATCAAAACGAATTGACATCACGACGATAGACACCTGTGCTCACAGGTATGGTGGTGAAGAAGAAGAGAAGGTCCAACTCTTGTCAGAGTTGAGAGAGCTCTGGGCTGATGGAAAGAATGAAGAAGATGTGAGGAACTCCGAAGTTTCATCTCTTGGATTCCCGTGCTCTGCGCATCTCTTGGTCGATGTGGCCGACGGGTTCGTCAACATCCACCCCATCACGATGTTTTTGGCCAAAGCCGCTGTGCCTGCCAGCGCCACGGAGCTTGGGTGGCTTTGTTAGACACCCCGGATCTGAGGTATTGTTCTTCCAAGAACCACCCAAAATCCGTGGTGCTGTTGCTTCTTCCCCTATTTTGGTTGGCCTTTCAACCCATGGTCATAAACCGATGCCGATTCGGCTCACCGATGACATTTGGTCTTGGTCGCCGCGAGGCGGAAACCGAAGAGGAGCGCTTGCGGCCGGTGCTGGCGATGTTGGGCGGAAGTTTGGAGGTCTTGTGCTCGGACATGGACAACGACAAGCAGATCAACGATCCGTACCATGGCCGATTCATGAAGGGATGGCGGATGAACGTGTTTTGGACGTGGGAGTTGGATGGATGTGGTTTGGATGTGGTTGGGTTTAGAGTTTAGAAGGTTATAGGGTCCAGCAGAGTAGATGTCTTAATAAGGAAAGATGAGAACTTGTTGACGTCCGAAAGATCAACCAGTGGAACATCCAAGAGACTTTCTTTTGGATGATTTGTAAAGTTCTACAGCTTCAAAGTTTCCGTTTTGGGTTCATCTCCTGAGCAAGAAAGGGTCTATAACATTTGATGGCGGCCGTGGAACTCTGCTGTGGCAACACGCCGCTTTTCGCGGCTTTTCCCGCACATCCAATAGGTTTGGCCTCAATCCTATGGTACCAACTGGGCCTCTTCAGCATGTTGAAGGGCGGGTGCTTCCAATCCATCCAATCCATCCAATCCACCGTGGGGGTGCAGGGCTAAGCGTCAAAACACCTACAAGAAAACTTACAAGAAACACATAGAACACTGTCCTACCTTTTCATCAAATTTTCCTACCAACACCAGCCGTTGATTCTTTTGCTTGTCTCACAAAAGGTAGACTCTGCACGCAAAAGAGCCTTGAGACCTCCCGCGCGCCTTGAAGAGCGAGATCTCTGTTGGATGCAGGCTTTGTCCTCGCTTCCTGCTGGCCTTGGATGAAGTGAATGACGAGCTGATCTTGTGCATCCGAGGGACCTTCGGCGGCGTTTTCACTTGGGGCCATGGGGCCGTCGGGAGTCGATTGAAGAGGGCCGAGAGTAGGTAGTCCCAACTGACAGGCAGGCGCCCATGGTTTCGTTCCACTTTTTTGCATCTGTGTCAAGAAATCTGTGCTGAAAAACGTTGACCAATTCACCTGACCGCTTGTCTTTGTGGGCCCTGCAATCTCAAGGCATGCCTTCTCACCACGATTGCGCCACTAGGGGAGGAGGAAGTTGTTGAGGTGCTATGGATGGCCCCTCTTTCTGCTGAAAAACCAAAGGCCGAGCCTTGGCTACTAGGAGCAAGGACGCTACTAGGGGCTCCTGGCCGTACTACTAGGAGCTAGAAGCTACTAGGAAGAAGGTTCGCTACTAGGGCTCCTGGCATCGCGACGAGGAGCGTTCGGACGCCACGAACGGGGACCCTTCGCTTCGCTTCGCTTCGCCGCGAAGGACCCAAACCCTCTCCGACCTCTTCGCCGACCTCATCGGCGACACGGAAGCCTTCCTAGGCGTGGAGAGCAGCATGCGTTTTTGATGTGAGCTTAGCACTTGGATAGCAAGCGTGCTTTTCTTTGCTTCTTTGTTTCTAATAGCAATGGCCTCCAACACCTTGTGAAGAGATGGACGAGGTCCTCCTTTGGGCTCAACCGAAACACTCGCCGCGACTTCGGGACTTCAGAGAGATGCTGCTCAACAGTGCCTCATCAGCTGCAGCTGCTCATGCAGGTCATGCCGATCATGCTGCTAATGCTCTACTACAGAGGAGTCTTTAGCATTGCATATGGATGCAGAATTGCTTCTAAAGCACTGGTAGCATAATTCTCACAGTGTTCGTTCGACTCGCTGCTCATGCTGGCACGACCGATGGCTGCAGTCTCGGTCCCAAGAAACAGGGCAGCATCCATCAGGGTCTATCCCCTCCATCAGATTCACATATGGTGAATGTTCATCATCCTTCCTCGGACCCGCCCACAAACACTCCTTCTGCCCCTCGAACCCAAGCTACCGCCCAAGCCAAGCCGACTTACCGCGTTCGGCAGGTGGCCAGGCGCACGCGGGGATCCTGCACTCGGCCCAACGGGTCTTTACGAAGATCTTGGAGCCTCTGAAGCGAGGCGAGGCAACGACCCGGTCGACACTGTGGCGACCGCCGCGACCGACCGCCGCGCCGCGACGCGAAGACGCAAAGTCGAAGACTGGGGTGGGTGGTTTGGGTGGTTTTTGGGGGTGGTGAGAATTGCCAAGGGTTGGAGGTTGACTTGAAAGGCTTGCATAATGACTGTGCTAAGACGAGCGTGATGATGGACACCTTCCCCCCAAAAGCGTCTAGCTAGAGTCTAGCTGCTCGCTGGGCATTTCTGGGTTCAACCGGATTTTGAAGCATGTCTCTGGAGTTTCTTTCGGGCAGGATGCCATTCCATCAGTTCTCATTGTGGACTTTGCATCGCACCAAAAGCTCCTCCGACTCCGTGAGATGCAACCTTTGTCGGTGCCAGGCTTGACGCAGCTGTCTTCCAAATCGCCGCGCCTAGCCCGGACGCCCCGGTGATGAGAGCGGTCGGCAGAAACGGAGGCTTCTGCAGAAACAGCAAGGTCTCAATGAATGGTCCAGGCGGTGCTTAGGACTCGGTGGTTGGTTTTCATGTTCACTTTGAGCAATATGGGTTGACAAGGGTGCTACTACAGGTTCACTTCGAGTTCCTGGCATTGCAGTTGGTTCAAGTGTTGTTGCTCTCTGATGCAAGTGATGCTTGTATTCCACGTAACATCACCAGCATTTGCCGTGCTCTAGCATCATGTCAATTTGACCGCAGGGGTGGCATTCTTTCACAGCCAAAAACGCACCCAAATGCTGTATTCTTTTGATGGCATCCCCCTTTCTCCTTTTCCCATGTAAACAAGTACAGGGGGGCAAGGCCACACTTCGAAACCACTTCTGCGAAAGGAAACGATTTGGCTGTCTGTCTCACACAGTTTTCTATGTGACTTGTGGCCAGAGTTGGAGTCATTGAGATGGATTGCAGGATAACATGTAAAACATTGTAAAGCTATGTTTTTTTTTTGCATCGTACAAGCCAGAAACACGCCTACGCCTCAGCCGTAGACTTTAAGGTCTTGGTTGGCCATTCCCTGGGCGCTGGCGTGTGTCAATTGCTGGCCATGCTGCTGCGGAGCAAGGGAAGCGCTCACTGGACCTTGCCAGAGGTCGGAGAAGAGATCTCGCGGAGACGTCGACTCCATTTTTTGGGACTTTTTTGGGGTAACACTTGCAAAAGCTGGGTCAACTGATTGATTGAAGGTCGTGTTCAGTGGTCGTTTTGGAAGAGGGCGGCAGAAGGTGCTAAGACTATATCCGTTGTTGCATGAACTCGCTCTGCCGTGTGTATTTCTTCGGTTCCTTGAATAACCGATGGAACAAAGTAACGGCAATACTGCGATACTGCCTCTATGATCTACCAGGCAGAAGAAAGCTGCACAAGAACAAGGAATCAGGCGGGAACATCAACTTATAGTCCACCCTTTTTTGGTGTTTCGGCCAACTGATAGACCCCTAACTGTCGCACCAACCGGAGCCAGTCGCAGTACCCAACGGTCGCAGTACCCAGGCGATCCCGTTGCGCTGCTTCCTGTTCGCGCCGCCACCAGTCTTTGGGCGAGAGCCGCTCGGATGGCCAGGGGGGCAGGGGCAGGGGCCCGCGGCCGGCCTGAGATGCTAAGAAAGGGGTTTTTGTGGAAGTCTGTGAAGCTGTGAGCGTTCTGCTTCTGGTTCTTTTTTGATGCTCGGAGACTTGGGAGAGCAAGAGTCATAGCCTCACACAAGTTCTATGTGGGACTTTCTAGGTCACCTTCCAGGATGACTTTCTTGTTGTATTACGTCCAGGATGACTTTCTTGTGGGCCTGTGGGAGGCCTGGTGACAATGACATGAGTGTTCAAGGTTGAGGATGTTCACATTTGGATTCTTGCCGAAGGCCTAAAGGTCTTGAAAGCATATATTGTGTCTGTTGGAGAACAGAAGAATATCTTGATGGAGAAGGCTTGGAGATGAGCCTGGTACTCTTCGGTGGCTGGCGAAAAGGGCTTGGGTCCGGAATTTGCCCTTGGCCGGAGTGAAGGCGGCAAATCAGAGGAAGGATTTTTGGGAAGTTCGGACGAGCCAAGGGTTTGGACAGACCAGATGATTTCCTGGTCGCTCAATGCATCGCGGGCATCACTTGAACACGGGTTTATTCGGAAGTCCAGCAAGGCTGTCTGGAGGCATGGAGCGTAGAATACCAAGCGACTGGCTTCTGGACCCCAGGAGTGTGGAATACCAAGTCAAGACCAGCTAGAGCCAGGATATTTATAAAGGTGGTCTTACGGCAGACCAATGGATTCCAGGGCAGCGTCGCCACATGATCCGGATTCCGGGATCCGCTGGACCTTTCATGGAAACAGTTCCTGCTGAATTTGACAAACCGCAAGTCGCTGTGGCAACCCCAATCCTCTATGGGCAATGGGCACTCGGATGATTCACATGTCGCACGTGCCTCGGGCGCCGTCTCGTCTCCTGTCGCAGCTTCAGCGCGTCCACCCGTCGCCCGCGACCAAAGCCACTTCCGATGGCCGGACGAACCACCGAAAGGGGGGCATCGAAGCTGACGCACGGACGACGCGGGTCGGATGCGCGCGAGCCGCGCCGAAAGCCGACAGCCGCGCGAGCGGCTGAAGAGACTGAGCTGAAGGTCAGAACGTCGTGACGAGGTCGCGACTCAGAGGTCCTTTCGGCACCTTTTTGGTCATCTCGTTGAGTGGTGATAGCGGTGGGGGCGGGGGTTATATAGGCGTTCATATAAACCCCTCAATCCTCAGGCAACCTGAAATGTGTTTGGTAAGTGTAGAGCTTGTCCATCCAATGTTCAGGCTGACTCTTCACATGTGCCATTTTGCCTTTGGATTTGGTGGGAGGCCAAAAAATGGAGTCAAAAACCGGTCATCGGATGTTTCTAAGAAATAGCTACAACATTCCTAGCATTGTTTGCTCAAGTACTGCTTGGACATGGATATCTCAAGATTCACCACACTCATGGTTGCTCACCAAGAATTCCTTCATGCTTCTCACAGCCCAGGCCACCTCTCGTGCAAGTGAAGAGACGAATGCTCTCACAAGCAGGATGTTCACAGCTTTGGCCATAGCTGAAAGGCAAGAGGAGACCCACCAGCTCAATGAGAGTGATTACACACGAGGAATTTCATCCTACGCCTCCTCCCACATGTGGCAACACGGCTGCTGGCTTTTTGCGGCTATGGCGAATGCGAGTGTTCAGCGCAGTGTTTATAGCTACAGTGCAGCCATCAGTTCTTTGGAGAAAGGGGGTCAGTGGCAGGGTGCTTTGAGCTTGCTTCATGCTATGTCAGAAGATAAGGTTCAGCCAAATGTTTTCAGCTACAGTGCAGCCATCAGTGCTTGTGAGAAGGGCGGGCAATGGCAGCGGGCATTGCATTTGCTTGCTGCAATGCCCAAGGCAAGCATTCAACCCAATATCTATAGCTTCAGTGCAGCGATTAGTTCTTGTGAGAAGCAAAGGCAATGGACACACGCTCTGATTTTGCTGCGGATTTTGCCTGTGGCACGTGTTCAGCCAAATCTTGTCAGCTTGAATGCAGCTATCAGTGCTTGTGAAAAAGCCGGGAAATGGCGTCATGCATTCGCGCTGCTTCATGCCATGCTGGACACAGGTGCCGAAACTGACGTGATCACTTGGAATGCCGTGATCAGTGCTTCTGAGAAAGGTGAGCAGTGGCAGCATGCTTTGAGCTTGCTAGAGGAAGCGGCACACGCATGGGTTCAGATGGATGTCATCAGTTGCAGTGCAGCCATCAGTGCTTGTGAGAAGGGCGGACAATGGCAGTTGGCGTTGCATTTGTTTGATGCCATGCCGAGAAGTAGCATTCAACAGAACGTTTTTGCTTACGGCGCCAGTGTGACTTCAGCAGGAAAGGGTAGGCAATGGGAGTATGCTTTGAGCTTGCATGATGCCATGCCTAGAGCAAGCATGCAGCAAAATGTGATTAGTTGTAGTGCTGCGATGAGTTCTTGTGAGCAGGGTATGCAGTGGCAACAGGTGTCAAGGCTTTTTGATTGCATGTACCAAGCGAGAATCCAACCAAATGCCCTTAGCTTCAGTGTAGCGGTGAGTTCCTGTGATTTGGCAGGCCGATGGCAACAGGCTTTGCGCTTGTTTGCTACCATGTCAAAAGCACAGGTTCAAGTAGACGTTATCAGCTACAGCGCGGCCATCAGTTCCTGTGAAAAGACTGGACATTGGCAGCATGCACTAAGCTTGTTCAATGCAATGCCCGAAGCCATGGTCGAGCCGAATGTTGTTGCCTATGCTGCAGCCAGCAGTGCCTGTGAGACCGGCGAGAAGCTGCACCAGCTGGTGAGCCTATTGGATGCCATAGAACACGGGGCCTTCAGCCAACTTCTTCGACATCGAGCCTTTATCCACTCTGAGCATGAAAAGTCTGAACTTGCCAAGTGAAGATGCCATGCTTTGTCGTCAGATGCCATGCTTTGCGCAGGCCTTGGGGTAGAAGATGGCATTCCTTTTGTTCGGAAAATCCAGGGGACTGGTCAACCTCTATACTAGACTCATCTAGACTCTATACCAGACAACCTCTCCGGCCAGACAACTTGACTAATTTCCTGCTTTCCGACCGCCTGCAGCATCAGCTGAAAAGGGCTCGGAGATTTTCGCAACGCTGCCTTTGGAGAATTGTTCTGCTGGGTGCAGCTTGAGCCAGTCATTCTCAGATCAGCTGGAGATTCTAAGAGATTCTAAGATGACTGGTTTGCTCGTCTTTCGTCCGTCATCGCCCTTGAAAAGCCATGCACGCGCGGCCTGGCGTCCTCGCGTCGTTCCGCGCCGTTCCGCGCCGTTCCGCGCCCAGGCCGCCGGTGTCGCGCTGGGTGTCGCTGCAGCGCCTCTTCTCGGGGCCGGGACAGAAGGCCTTCGAAGAGGTGCAGCAAGCATCGGTGGCACTTCGGCGGAAGGTGTGGCTGAAGGTGTTGAAGGGTTGATGGAGTGGGTGGGTGGGTGGGACCTGCTTAAGGAATAGGTGAAAACTGGATCAACGTGGCTTTGTCGAGCTGGCAAGTGCTTAGTGAGGGTTTAGACAAGTTGCTTGGGCTGGGTGGAGTGTTTAGGACAATGATTCCTTTTAGTGTTTTGGAAGCAACGATGGAGTGTGAACAAGAGCATGGTGGGATCCTGAAGAAGATTCTGTTTGCAGGTCCAGCCCAGGTCCCAAAAGAATGGGAAGACGTCCTTTTGGTAAAGAGATCGAAACCTCCTCCAACGATTCGCCACTCTCCTCGGTGGAGAGGGAGAAGGAACCACCGGCCGCGCCCGTTCGCCACTGGGGCCGAGGCATTTGCGATCAACTTCGATATCATCCCTCGGACCTCCTTGCACAATGGCCGCCAGTTGCAGTTGGACCCCGATTTTGGCTTAGCTAACTTAGTTTAACTATGACTCATATTGATACATGATTTCTTTTTTTTTTCTTCGGTGATTTTGAACATGGAGGTTGAACGGTTCATGCATGTTTCAAGATCCTTCCGAAGCGTGACAAGCGTTTGGTTCATGTTTGGGAGAACTCATGCAGTCGAACATTGAGGTAAGCATTGCATTGTATTGCATTCCGTTGAATTCTTGGGTCGCACAAACATCCGTCAGACTGTCCGTCGAAATGAACCCCCCTTCTGTTTGGACAGTCGCACAAAGCTGGAGCCTTTCTTCGGACTCCCGAGAAGAGAGGAAGAATGGGGTCTGATGCCCGATTTACTTTAGTAGGGAGCGAACAATGACAGCAAAATCAGACAGAAAAGGATTTGACTCTCCTTTCAAACCAGATAATCACATGAACAGATGACAGATCCATTATGATCCATTCGTCCCCCAGCCCAGCAAACTTGAAAGCAAAAGAACATTGTGAAACATATCCAGCTCAGCCTCCACAGTTAGCTCCCCTTCCTTTCATCCTCCCACTGCCCCCTCCCTCAGCCTCCTTTCATCCAGCTCACGGTCCGGTGTGGGTCTCTGAGGCTACAAGCTCTTCCAGGAGGCCCGGCTCCTGGACGACGCGGTGACCTGGCGGAAGGCCGAGGTGCTGCGGCGCATCTCCCAGAGCGACGATAAGGCTCAGGCGGGATCCGGCGCTGGAGCCGATGGCTGGGAGGGAGGAGTCCTACAGGTTTCGACGGATTCGGATTCAGGTTTCTGGGCATAAGTTGGATAGAGTGAGTCAAAGAGACCCAGCTTCAAAGACCTCCTAGTAGCGTCCTTGCTCCTAGTAGCGAACAAAGACATACTAGTAGCGTCCTTGTTACAGGTGAAACGATTCCCTGTTCTTGCCTACACTGATCGTACTGGGGTGAACATCCCACCCGAAAACGACCACCTGATAGCCTCACTCGGCCCAAAAGAACCGCCGCACACTCCTTTGCGGCGCATCGCATCGCTTTCGCTTTGGCGTTTCCTTCGCCGCCGCTGGCATCGCTTGTCCTCTGCCCTTCGCAGCCGCGCGAGCCGAAAGCGGCGGCAGGTGGCTTTGGCCACGGAACTGCAAGAGCTCATGCATCTGCTCGCCCAGAGAAGAGCTGCGCCTGGGAATCCGCCCGAGGCCCCAAACGTCGAAGAGAAAGAGAAGAGCTGCCGAAGCACTTGGGAGGTGACGAAGTCTTAGCAGTATATGTGCTGTTCTTCACGGAAGGGTTCTGAGGCACACTTCTTCTCCCAACAAATCCTCCACAAGCTGCTTCAAGTAGCACTGCCTCACTCTGCCTGGCTTCTTTTTCTGCGCAGAAACACGGTTTGTTCCCAGGTACCCGGCACAGCACGCAGTGGCCAAACACCTTTTCCCCCTCATGCTGGTCCCAGGCGCATGGCCGGAATTGTGGTGCCGCGCATGTGGTGCACAACTGGTGCGGGTGATGCGTGGTGTTCTACCCGGAAGAGAGATTGAGGTGGAACCCCAAGCTATTGGTTAGCAGTGGAATAAATGAAGTCCTAAGGTGCGTTTCTAGGTTTCATTCGATTCTTTATAGAGAGAGAGAGTATTCCGGAAAGGATGCTGCACTTCGGGACACAGGTGATGCACTTCTGGTAGCCATCCACAGATTTGCAACCCAAAGACATGGCACTGGGGTCAATCTTCCAAATTTGGATGGAACACAGAGACACAGAGACCTGTTCACACACCACATATTGGAAACCCCCTCTTTGATCCATATCTACCAAGAAGCTTCCTTCTTTTGGATGTTGAACTGCCAAGAAAGACTCCGATCCATCTGCCCAAACGCAGGTGGGACCTCCGTCTTCCAGCACAGGAGGCCGGTGATGACCTGGTGACGTGTGGGTGTGGTCTCCGGTGGAACTCGAAGCGGAAGCTGAATGAACCCGAGGTCAGTCCTCGTCAGATGAGTCAAGAGTTTCACGGATGTGGATCGCTTTCTTGGTGACCTGATCCGGATCAAGTTGTGCGGCTGGTGACTTCTTCCTCTCTCTTCCCGCAAATTAAAGCAGGTGCTTCCCCACGCCGCTCGTTGGGGAGGGGTTTGGAACCGGTCCTGGGTGCTTCGGTTCCAACGTTATCGGCTCCGGTCCATCGGCTCCATGGCCGTTCAGGTCAACAGATCCAGGCCATGTCCGCTTCGGTCGTTGTGGAGGGAGAGAGGGAGTGAAGCAATGATCAGGGGACGATGTTTGAAGGTGTTTTGGGGTTGACCAAGGTGCTACGAGATTTCTTCGATTTCCTGAACTCTTTACAATTCTGGCATTGCAAGGGGTCAACGTGTTGTTGTCTACTGGTGCTAATGATGCTTCTACTCCAAGTAACATCACCAGCATTTGCCGCCCTCGAACGTCCTGTCAATTTGCAGGAGGGTGTGGTATTTTGGATCAAAAAGCACCCTCGTAGACCCCATCGGTTGGGAACATTGGGTTTCAGAATCTGCAGGGTCTAGAAAGCGTTTTGAAACATCTCCTTGTGATCCTTAGACTGCAAGATCTTGTGCGTCTCCTCTCTTCAAAATCGTTTTGAGAAGTTGCTTTTTTCACCTCCACGCAGCACCAGTCCTTCGCTCATCCAGGTGAGGCGCCACCGGAAGCCGCGGAAGCGGCGCCCGTCAACCCCCGCGAGCGTGGCGGTTGGCTGCAGAAACGCTCCGAGCACTTGAAGCAGTGGCGGCACCGCTTCGCTTGGATCGAGGTGGTCCGGCTGACGAACGTGCGCCTTGAGGGTGGGGAAGCTGGTTACAGGTGGAGTGTGGAGCGAGCCAACCACTGTTGTTTTTTCTTTTGGTCTGAGCAGTTCGTTTTTTTGGAGAGACAGAGCCAACGCCCCGTGTTTAGCACTTGAATCAGATGCTGTGATTGATGGTGCTTAACTTATCATGCGCATAAGGACCAGTCTTTGAAGAAAGCATATTTTCTGGCAGAAAACTTTACGTGTTTCCGCTCAGACGGGTGCGTCCAAGTCATGTTCACTGTTAAATCAACCTCCCATCACCGGGAGATGGTTCTGCATCATCAACAGTTGAATTCATCAGACAACAGTTAGGAAGGGATTGATTGGGCTTCAGAGGAATTACGAGACGCTTCCCTTTCCCCCCCGATCAGGGCTCGGTCGGTGAGGTTTTTCGTTTTTGAAGCGACGAACAAGCCCAGCCCAAGGGCGGAGAGCTACGCTTCGCCGCCAAGCCGGAGGACCCCCGAAAGCCGGACGCCGATTTGGTCGAAGTTGGTGAACGAAAGAGGAGTGTCCTCACTATTGCAGTGAGAACTTTTTGATTATTGAAGGTTTTGCAGCCATAGTAAGAAAGAAAAAGGCTTTGCAGTGAGAAAGAGAGCACTTTTCAGACATGATGGAACCGATTCCACGAACGTGGGGAGAAAGGATCGCGGGGAATTGAGGGACTGGTGCACTTTGAGGATCCCACCGTCGCTCGACCTTTGCACCTGCGGATGCCAAAGGTTTCGAACGCGGCACACCACAGATGCCAGCACAGCCGTTGTAGGTCGTGGTCAGCGGTGTCTTCTCTCGTCTTCTACCGGCCTTAGCCGTTGTACCTTCGGCCGTTTTAGGATCCAGTGAGATCCTTCGTGAAGTTGACTGCAGATTGCACCTCCGTGATGGTGCTGGGAGCCTTGTCGAGGGAAGACGGAAGGGATGCAGAGGAGCGATGTGTGTGGGGTAGTGTCGAGCTTGCAATCCACTGAAGCTTGCAGAGTGCTTAGGTTTCCTTTCTTACCACTTCTTCCCCCACATCCCACATGCCATACTTCTTCCCCGAGCTAGTGTCACACCGTGTTTTTCCCCGGTAGCTGGGGTCTTCCCTTGTCGCCCCTCTTCCGGTGTCCAGCCTCGGCAACCAGCCTCGGGTCCCACTCAGGAGATCCTGGTGACACCGGTGGCGACAGCTCACGCCGTCGCGCCGCCGTGCTCCATCGCGGGTCCTCCGTAGACACCGGGCGGCGAGCAAGCTTAGGCTGGGAGGGTTGGGTTTGATGTGACTACTAGGAGCAAGGACGCTACTAGGGGCTCCTGGCCTTACTATTAGGAGCAAGGACGCTACTAGGGGCTCCTGGCATCGCTACTAGGAGCATTCTTACTACCTAGGGGGGTTGATGAAAGAAGAAATCCAGCACTAGCTGTCATAGACTGCCGAATCGGCGTCTAAGCTTTCCGTCAGGTGGTAGGATTTGGTTGCTTAGTTTTGAGCATGCTCTGTACATGCGTGTTATTCATCTTAAGACACTTCTTTCTCCTTTAGTTTTCTTCTTCTTCTTCTTCTGACCGTTTATTCGGCCTTTCTATTCCGTTTTTCCGACCGCGTGAGTGTGTCTTTTTCTTTCAAACCATGCCGTGCCACGGCCCGTGCCGCCGTGCTCCGATGCTCCTCGATCCGAAGATCAGGTGACCTGAAGTCCTTCGCCACGAGCTGGGCCTTCAAAGTGCAGACCAGCGCCTCCTGGTCAGGCGCGGACTCTCCACACTCCCAGCGCTGTGTGGGAAGCTTTGGACGCCCTCCAAAAAGTCATTGTTTTTTCTGTCTTCTCGTGCTGGGAAGGCTGGAATGAACCATTTCTTGAATGTCTGGAAGATTCTCCAAGAAATTGACCAGGCCAAGGTTTTTGGGACCCTACCCACCGGTGCCGGTTTTGTGCGGCCTACAACGTCTCCAGTCGAGACTGGAGGTGTGGCCTACGACGCCACCGCGGCGGCGCTGCCGCGGGTGGAGAGCTGCGAGGCGATCGAGGTGATTCTCTGCGCGGAGAGCGATGCTTGGGTGGGAGCCGAAAGTGTTTCTTGTTCTTTCTCTGGGCGAGCCGGATTCTTTTGGTTTATGTCCCCAAAACTAAGTCTTTCTTACCGACTAACGTGTTTGGGGTCTATGCTGGTTGCTTTCCTTTTTTCGGCTTCTTTTCTTTTTTGATTTGTCGACCGGGGAAGACGATGGGAAGATTTTGCGTTGAAGTTCTGGGATTTGCAAGCGGCGACGGAAAGCAGCACGGATAAAGAGGGGATGCAACGCAAACAGAAAAGAGACAAAGACCACGATAGAGACGAAATCAATCAGGTTCCAGTATTTCCACAACGTATTTCAACATGTTTGATCCAGATGGAACACCACCGCCCTAAATCTCACAGAAGGTGTGGCGCCAAGCTGCGAGGGGAGTGGGGTTGGGAGTGGACCGAAGGATCGATCGCCCATGTGGCTGATTTGGTCAAGTCTTTGAGAAAGGTGGATTACTTGTTACTCCTAGCTTCTTGTTACTACTAGTAAGGCACCTGTTACTACTAGCGTGG